AGTTCTCTTCTTGCAAGCTGAAATTCAGCTGCAGATCTGTCCCCTTTGACAGTCAGGTCGCATCAGTGAAATGGCTGATGCAACCATTTTGCGTAAGTCATTCTTTCATAATCACTTCCTGAAGCATTAAGGTGCAGAAATAGTTTTTAGATGGAAGTGCATTTTGCTCCCTCTATGTTTAAATTTAAATTGGAGATGTTTACTGTGCTGAGTGACAGAACATCTCTTTGGTTGTGTAGCTTCTACAAATTATTAATAAGTGTAAACATTGCAGTCAAATTATTTCCTCATAAAGAACACCAAAGAAATACTCTCCATCATTTCACTGTAGTTCTAAATTATCAACAAATGAATGCATACAAAATGAAAGAATATTCTCTCTCAGAAAAAAAAAAAGGATACAGTTTGAAAGAAAGTATTTCTCTGTAAACATATAAGGCATTTTTGAAGTGGGAGGATTGATGGTATTTGTTTTAGCCTGACTGAATGGAAACACACTGCAGGTCAAAGGGCTGTCTCCCTACATACATGAAGGAGTAAAAATTCTTCTTACTAGTTCTGAAAAAACAACCTGTCAAATTCAAGCATTAAACCTTTCTATCGCCTTTTTCTTTTTCTTCTCTCTTTTTTTTTCCTTCTGTGTATTGTCATAGTCTGCTACACACTTGCACTGGAAGGTATCTCCCTGAAAATACTGACTCAGAAACATACTCTTGCCACCTGCCTAGCCCCAAACCCTTATCTGTTTGCCAAGGATGACAAAACCCAGACTGAAACCTGAGTGTGTCTCATAACAATCTTTCATCTTGCTTCATTAGAATTAACATTGCACATTACAGAACTCAACATTTTCCTAAAAAAGAACAAATTGAAAGGATGAGATACCCTTGTGTTTTCTGTCAGTAACTGAAGAAATACAGTAACTGTAACAACATTTTTAAAGCAGTTTGGCTGTGCAAATTAAAAAAAAAAAAAAAACGCACTTCGAGATGGCTGTGGAACATATCAGAGAAGGGAAGTGTTTTTTAGTGAAGGAACATCATCAAGTTCCCAAAAGCTGGTGCTTCTCTCTAGTCATCACTTGACTGAAATAATTCTTGTTTTTTTTTTTAAGAGAAAATACTTTTAGATTTCGAAACATTTTAAAACATTTTAATCCTGAGTTTGATGTGACTCACTCCTATTTGTTTTTGTCATCAAAACTGCAACTCCTTGATAAAGCTAGTTAAATTTGAAAAGGCACTTGAAGAAGACAACACGAGGCCATAAAATTATAGAGACTCTAGATAGACATACATTACGTTTTTAAAAGGTACTTCTGCCTCCTAACATTTGGGCTTAGCCCACTCTCATTACACTTCTAAACTGGGCCTTGGGGAGTGATTTATTCAAGGCCCAGTCAAGGGCTTTATAAACAGCCAAACTTAGCCGGATGAGTGATCATGTTTACCAGGTCCCCAGTTCCTGAAAACGAGCAGTGACACCCTAATCCAGCTGTGGCTACTCCTGATCACAGGAGTCTGAAATACGAGGAAATCAAGATAAACTTTTTCCACAGGTGTGCAATTAGTTAGGGCTGGGTAGGCTTTTAAGGGAGTTTCCTTTCTCTCCTTCTTCAGGGCACCACCAGGGCAACACAACTAATTAGTGTTGCAGCTAACTCATCTGAGATGTAGCTGCTGGATAGACAAAACCTGGTGCATCGGTCTCTGATTTGTCTCAGGAGACACAACTGCAACAGGACGTGCTGGGGCCTGGAGCTACGTCTCTGGTCGTGGCAGGGACCGTAGGGAAACACACGGATTGCTTCAGACCTGGTCCAGGCAGGTCTGCTCTCTTACGTGGTATCCACTGACCAAGGGCATTTCCTCAGCTGTACATCAGTCCTGAACCTGGGCTGAGGAGGACTTCATGGTCTTATGCAAGCAACTGCAGTGCAACACAGGCTTTTCATTTCTCTCAGAAGGAGAGATAGAATCACCATGACTTTTTTTTTTCCTACACCACAATCCACACATGAAACAGCAAGCTGTTTAAAAAGCCTAGAAATCAGTATGATTATTCTACTTGTTTCTGTCAGCAAGGAAAAGGTATTGCAAGTAAAACTCCTCTCTTCATTACAAGTCAATTTATCAGGATCTATCAGGTTATCTGGAGTTAGAAAGGACTGAGAATGCTGCGGGAGACCAGAAACACCCTCACAACTGCTCTAAACACTGAGCACCAGCCAGCCATCTCCCTCATCATCAACTTCCAAGGTGAGCTGGAACCCTGGTCTCAAAACAACACAGACACTAAAGTACGAACAAACTTGCCCTTAAGGTGAGAATGCAGTTTGTCTGCTTTTTCCCCCAGGGTATCCTCACAGTTAGCGTAGAAGTGAGTGTCTTCTTTCTCCTCCTCCATTTCCTGGTTGAAACTATGAATGTCCTTCCTCTTTTACGGTGCTTTGAAAAGGCGCATACTTTCACCAGCACCAGTACATTACATTTTCCTAACAGCTGGTCAGAGCGCCGCAACCAGCTTGTTTGGAAACTACCAGTGTTTCAAGCACAAGTGGCACAAAACCCCTTTTTCAGGAGGGCTTTATCTCAGACTAGGCATGAGGTAGAGCTGTGCTGATCATTTTGAAAGCCCTCCTGCTTTAATTTTTACTGTTTACCTGACAGTAGAAAGAGAAATACCCAGTTCTGTCAGCTGGCTACTCCCTAACTTCGTGCTATGCCTCTGTTCCGGGCACACGGTCAGGGGCCTTGGCCTTGCTGCTTCCAGCAGAGGGACAGACGCCTGCCACAACTGTCCTTCACACTGAACTGCTTCTCCTGGACAGGACAACTACCAGTGATTTGGAGGGAAGGGAGGTATTAGATGGAAGCTGACCAGAATAGACCTAAAAACAGAAATATGTTTTTATGCAGGACAGAACTCCACAGAAATGTACTTGCTGATCAAAACTGCTAAGCTCATGTTAACACTGGTCCTCAGCCAGCAGGATCACTAGGTTTATTTCACCATTCCATCCTCACTATCTCCTCTTCCTGCAGTTGTGTTCTATTCCTCACGGAACTTGGATACAGTCTGTCAGAGTCCAGTCGTTAAAGCTCTGCATCCCTCTCCCTTACAAAGGCAGATACTTATTTCTCCCTCCCCTGCAGTACATCTGGGCATGTCAGACTTCTTAAAGCACTTCCTCCTCACAATCCCATACTAAGGGCAGAAGATCCTGCAGCGAGTCCCTTCCCTTCCTCCCTTTTCTCCTATATTTCAGCATCCACATTCAGAACTGTTGTCATTCTCCTTTTTCATTTAGGAGATGGAAAAAGGATGAGGAAGCAGTACAGAAAGGGCCTATCAGGTGGCAAGTGTCGCTCTCCCACCAAACTATGTCTCAAAGAAAAGGCAGAAGTGATAGAATAGGGAAGAAGTTCATGAATTCACTGGACAGCCTGGAGGACCAGCAGAAATTCCTTACAAATCTTTGCAAGCAGTGCAAACCTTGAGTTAACTAGGATGTATCAGCATATCAGCTTGGCTGCAGCTCTGCAAGCTGGACTGAGCTTGGGGCACCATTCTTTTAACCCCCTTAGAAATGGCTGGTAAGGAAAAGAGTTCAAAACAATGTTTGCAGTCTCTGGAGCAGGAGCTATAATACTTGTGTAATTGAAAGCAGAGGGCTTGGCATCATTTCATGACTCTGGAAGCAAAACCTCAGCATGCTCTGAGAGTGCCTATGCTTTAGGCTGACTTGCAGTGCTTTGGGTATTTGTCTTCAGCTACAAAAAGAGGAACATTATAATGAAAAATAAACAACTTTAATTCCATCGTGTTCCATATTCAGGACTACTTTGCCAGCAAATGAATCCTCTGGTTAGATTTGCAGATTGAAAGTTTAAATGCAGAGAAACAGATTCCACTTCTTTTTCTTTCAGGATATCCTGGTCTTGTTGTTGCAGCAGAGCATGACAGCAGAGCGCCTGTGCTTCCAGCAGCCAGCCTCTGCACTGCCTCTGCCAAGGAAAGAGAACTTCTTTTTTTCTCATATTTTTTTGAAAACATTCCATCAGAATAACATGAAGCTGCTTTGCTACCTTAAAACTGGAGCAGCTAACAGGGAAATCTGCAGGCTAAACTACCAGCGCTTATTCTAATAATACAGTATTATTAGAATAATTATGCAATACAGGAATAATTGCATCACTGTGACTCACTAGGAGAAAACCCCACAGTTCTCTCAAAACAGAACTGTTGATTTATTAAATCCCAAGGGAAATGCATCAACAGAGAACAAACACTCTACATATGGAGAAAAATGAAACAACTCCATTCCTTTATATTTTAGTAAAGGAGAAGAAAATTATTTTTTTCTGACAGCAGTGTTTGTCAGGATTTTTGAATAACAGACAGCTACACAACATTAAATACTATAGGAAGTCTGGGGACCTATTTTGAATAGCACTGTGACAAACAAGTGAAACCCAGCTACCAACATCACCAATATGTGCTTCCCCAACCTCCGAGACAACTCACCTGGAACAGGTTACTCCAAACACTGCCAGCTGTTACGCAGATCTTGGAGGCGCTGGACTCCGGTCGCTACACCAGTGGGCACCTCAGCAAC